GAGGATTAGGGCCACTGGGAAAAAAAATCTGACTTTAATCTCAGAATTCTGACTTTAAAGCCAGGTTTTAGTCAGAATTATTCTGATTAAAGTCAGAATTCTGAATTTTTTTTTCAGTGGCCCTAATCCTCTTTTTCTATAAATGGATTTTTACAAGTAGTAGCCTTATCAGAGAAGAACACAACTCAACCAAAGATAGCTTACATTGTCCTTTATAAACCTTTTTATTAAAATTATATGAAACATAAATAAAACATGCTTTGAAATTGTGGATAAAAAAATGACACGCTTGGAGAATCATTGTCGATTTAAAATGGTTACAAAAGCTCAAAGGAGCAAAATTCTAGCTATAAGCTAAGATTTACAAATGCCTAGCTAAAACTATTAAAAGACTWRCTTAAAGCTAAAGTAGCCATTTGCTAAAAGAAGCAAAATGCTGCATAAAATATATCAAAATGCTAAATAAAAGCTTTAAGTAGCAAAAGACTGTCTAAAAAGTGACAGTAAAAAAAATTAAAAATAGCTAAAAGCAGCAGCGTATTAGCTAAGAGAAAAAATTTCCAAAAAGCTAGGAAATTTCTGGCTAGAAATTTAAATCAGCAAAATGCTAACTAAAAGTGGTAGCTTAGCTAAAAGTTAGAAGTAGACTATGATGGAAATATATATATATATAGTAATGTTTAAAGCTAGGAAATTTAAATCAGCAAAATGCTAACTAAAAGTGGTAGCTTAGCTAACAGTTAGAAGTATACTATGATGGAAATATATATATATGTGTATGTATTACTAATATTTTCACCATGGTATATGGTGAAAATATTAGTATATAATATATATATTATATACTAATATTTTCACCATATACCATGGTGAAAATATTAGTAATACATACACATTTATATATTTCCATCATAGTATACTTCTAACTGTTAGCTAAGCTACCACTTTTAGTTAGCATTTTGCTGATTTAAATTTCCTAGCTTTAAACATTACTATATATATATATATTTCCATCATAGTCTACTTCTAACTTTTAGCTAAGCTACCACTTTTAGTTAGCATTTTGCTGATTTAAATTTCTAGCCAGAAATTTCCTAGCTTTTTGGATTTTTTTTGTCTTAGCTAATACTCTGCTGCTTTTAGTTGTTTTTAATTTTTTTTTACTGTCACTTTTTAGACAGTCTTTTGCTACTTAAAGCTTTTATTTAGCATTTTGATATATTTTATGCAGCATTTTGCTTCTTTTAGCAAATGGCTACTTTAGCTTTAAGYWAGTCTTTTAATAGTTTTAGCTAGGCATTTGTAAATCTTAGCTTATAGCTAGAATTTTGCTCCTTTGAGCTTTTGTGACCAGTTTAAATCGACAATGATTCTCCAAGCGTGTCATTTTTTTTATCCACAATTTCAAAGCATGTTTTATTTATGTTTCATATAATTTTAATAAAAAGGTTTATAAAGGACAATGTAAGCTATCTTTGGTTGAGTTGTGTTCTTCTCTGATAAGGCTACTACTTGTAAAAATCCATTTATAGAAAAAGAGGATTAGGGCCACTGAAAAAAAAAAAATTCAGAATTCTGACTTTAATCAGAATAATTCTGACTAAAACCTGGCTTTAAAGTCAGAATTCTGAGATTAAAGTCAGATTTTTTTTCCCAGTGGCCCTAATCCTCCTTCGTATATTTACTTTTAAGTTGGGGGGGAAAAAAAAACATTTTTCAGACCAAATTTGGATAAAATCTGAACTCTGTTCAGTAACTGCGGTCTSTATCAGTTTGGTCCTCGGCGCTTGCCGTACCTTCATGTGCGTCTGCTGCCACAGTGAGTTGAACGCTGAAGGGAAGTTCATCAGCAGCTCTATTTYAAATATAAACGTTGTGTTTTCTTGTATTTTCCTCAGCCGACCTCAGAGTSAAGTAAGTTATAATGTAACTGAACAGACATTTTTTTGCTAAACATTTASCTTCGTGTTTTAAGCCTTTTTATTATGGCTGCATACATTAGTTCGGTTGAACTGTTTGCTAACCTGACTTCASTTAACCATACTTCTGTGTTTATCATTTGAAAATAAAAATCATGGAGWCTAAAAAGTTTATAAAGGCACTGAAGTGCTTCTTGGACTTTTACTTGAATGGAAAATGAAAGAGTTGTTGTCATGACTTGGACTAGCTTGTTAGAACTCATCACAAGCAAAACTCCGGGCAAATTAAGTCTTTTTTTCCTTAACTCATGCATTATGAGGTTATAGWTATTCGAAAATGACCATTGCAAATACTTTCTTTCTAAGTTGGTAGCACTTAATAATTCGGCCTTAACATTATTTTAAAAAGTCATGTATTTAAATAAATTTAAAAGGACAAAATGAGCAGCAGGTTCTTAGCATTCAACACAAAAACTGACTTAATYCAGCAGAAACAGATTCTAACCAAACTGGAGGAGAAACGTTTGTGTGTGAGAAATTAGCAAGACATTATAGCCCATCACCAAAAGGAAAGTTTTGACAGAGTCTGTCAACACAGGATTTATCAACAACTCATTACTTTTTGATGTCAGCCTAATTTACATGGCTTCCACAGCTAATTGAACTTCACAAACACTAAAACGGTTCAAACTGATTTAAGTTTAGACTGCAGTGTGTTGGACGTTGGTTTGAGTGATGCTTGATTAAGCTGCTAGTATAGATTCATCTGGACAGTATTTTTATTTCAGCAGGAATACATCAGTAAATTCATATTTCTGAGATCTGCACCAACAGGGTTGGTCAATTCTGACTTTATCAACTGGCTAAAAGCAGTTACAGATTAACTTAGACCTGATTAATTTGTGCATGATTTTCAAAAATACCCATCCTAAGTGATCAGATTCTTCACTGCTTTTTGCACAGTTTTTGGACATGAGACAACTCTTAAAAAGTGTTTTCTTGCAGTGCTTATGTTTGTAATGGAGATCAAATCAAAATGTGCCTCACTGTTGTGGTCACTTGCCTTGATGGGCATAGTATTGATCCACATCAGGCATATGATGACAATACAGATCAATGTTTTCATTTTGATTCGATGTTATTGAATCGTTCATCATTTAATCTATATATCAATGTGGACTGGTGTTACACTCTTATAGGAAAAAGCTGTTGAACATTTCCATTTTTTTTTTTTTTTTAAAATCCACCTTCTGTCCTTTCTGGTTCCTTTCCTTGACTCCAAACCTGACCATCACTTCCTCATCTCCTCTGTTTCCCTCACCAACATGTCTATTCAGGTTTTCTCTAATCACCACTCTCTCCTACCTGGGAATGTTGTCCATGACTTCATTCAGATCACATGTGTCAAACTCAAGGCCCACGGGACTCCCTTGTGGCTCGTCAAAAAAAAAAAATCAATACTGTATATATAT